AGCTAGATGGAGATACTGCTATATGAATTGATGAAAACCTGCAGAATTCTGGATCAGATTTGATTCTCTCTTCCCAGTCAATATCTTGATAGGGATTAATGCTGTTTCGTACTATGTTTTTCAAAGTCCATTTGGTTTGGAACTCTGAAAATTGGATATTGTCATTTAAATATTTGAATAAACCATATTTAGTTTAGTTAGTTTATACAAATTTATTTTAGTTAGATTGTGTTGGAAGCTATAAGCTTATTGAAACACTCTTGAATCTGTTCCTGGAACCAACCAGTACTAAGCAAATTGCAATGAGTGTAAAGTTTCTTGCTCAAGGAAACAATGACATGCCCCTGACAGGGTTTGAACCCACGTGGTCAGCAATCCTTAGATTACTAGTCCACTCACCCATATTTGACCAATATCTCGCATATACTAGTATCAGGGATAAATCCTAGTTGATGCATAGCGCCTTCAAGCATAAATATATTTAACCACCATCAAATATGTGATTGGTAAGGCAATCATTTGGCATAGTTTATGGAGAAAACACAGTTTCCATTTATCTATCAGAGATTCAAAAGAATGCCAGCCTAACAGTGCCAAGGCTATATCAATGCTGGATCAAGTTGGTAATTTTCGGATAGATTTTGCTGCTAGTCGCAAGAAGCATTCCAATAATAATGAATCCTTCTGTATCAAGTAATGCCAGAGTTCGAATCCATGCAATGCGACTGGGAATGTGACTTTTTCCACCAGGCCTGAAAGTACTTAAAGATTTACTTCCCAATTCGTTCAGATTCTTGAAATGTTGTTTAAACAGAAATTATAGATTTTCATCTAAATTTTAGTCATTTGGATGAGCAAAATATAATGCTGTGTGCTAGTGAAAATAATTTTGCTTATCATACTGACCTACTCAAGAACTTTGCATTGTTTTTCCCCAACTCATCTGGGTGCAAAGATACAACTTTGTAAATATATTATTAAGAAGAGTAGATCAATACTATTGTAAACAGTAAGTAGACTGTGGAGTATTTGTTTGTACCCCAGGATTAGATGGAAAAAACCCAAATTTGCAGAGTGCTTGATAACATCTATTTGATTTATACAGAATTTATTTTAGTTTGTGTAGGAAGCTATAAGCTTATAGATACACTTTGGAATAAAAATCCATCCCTGGAACCAACCAGTACTAAGCAATGAGTGTAAAGTTTTTTCCTCAAGGAAACAAGGGCTTGCCCTTGATGTGGTTTGAACCCATGCTGATATCAGTCCTTAGATAACTAGTCTGACGTGTTAACCACTAGGTCATACTGCCACTTAACATCTATAATATACTTGAAAGTATATTTTCATATCTATTATTTCTTACATTTTAAATAAAGCTTATGTAATGGTGTAACATAATTTCCCTAATCAGTTACTTTCAGTTTACTTTTTATTATCAAAATTGCTCATGTTTTATATATCAAAAAATTCCAGTACCAGTACCTCACAAGTTTTAAGTTGTTTACCATTTAATGTAGTAAAATAGTACCTTTGATATAAAAAATAAAGGAAAACTTTTCAGCATTCCAGGAAATATAGATAACTCAAATAACTGCACAGATGTGCATGCATACTGACTCATTTTAAACCAACTTGACCAGACAGAATTTTAATTGTTAAGTGTTTTAGGAACTTCCTCTCACATAATGTTCCTTATTAAGTAACAACTTGATGATGGAATTTGTATCTATACTTGTTGATGCAGCCACTTTACATCACTTAGAATGTTGTTAAATTAGGTTTATTTCTTTTAAAATGTTTTGTTAAATAAATGTACGATTGTGGTTGAAACCACTCACACACACATATATACATTGTATAGATCTGCTGAAACTGAAAATGATTAGAATCTGTGCAGTCTCACAAGGCTCTTTTAGTAATAATGGCCGCAAAACATATCCGTCTTGATATCCATGGAAGGAATTATAAGGAATTCAGTAGGTTAAGACTAGTGACATAATTATGGCATGTGTGCTAAATATTGTTATTTTTTACTCTCACTTTTTTCATTTCCTAAAGGGTTTACTTCAAACGTTAGATATTAGTTTCTTATAATCTGCCTTATTATAATATTATGTGACAAGTTTATAATTCTAGGGTCGATGTTTCCAGAATTATCATCCCCTTAAACTTAGAATTTTCCTTATTTTTTCTGTAATTTAATTCTTCAGGGATTAAATTCAAGCTTCAAAAATATGCTTGTTATCAACACCTACATTACATTTGATTAGATTAATAAGTCTAGCTCCCACTTTTAACAACTAATCCAGTGCATCAGTATAATTATTGTCAATTTGGGAAACGGACAAAAGCCCCCCCGGACAAAAGCCCTCCCTTCAAAAAATGACAAGGCGGACAAAAGCCCTCCCGTGAAAATGACAGGGCGAACAAAAGCCCTCCCACGAAAATAATAGGGCGGACAAAAGCCCTCCCATGAAAATGACTGGGCGGACAAAAGCCCTCCCGTAAAATTAACAAGGCAGACAAAAGCCCTCCCGTAACAAAAATAAATATGTATGTTGAATACCTTTGTTTTTTTCAATGCACTCAACCTATAAAATTGTTACATATATTTCTTGTTGTTTTCAATTGGCCTAAGTATGTGTATGAGCTTGAACCACCTTTTTTTCTTAATATACCTTCCTGAACAAACAAACAAACATACAATTTCCAAGGAAAAAATATCCATGGAAGTCAATTATAAGAAATCCCTCTCCCACCCCCCCCCCCCCCCCACATGTCAAAAACATCTGTGGAGTCCCTTTAATACTGATTATAAAAAAGATGGATAATTAAACTTGAGAAGATTTCCATCTGTTTGATGCACATTTTTGTAGTCTTGACCGTCTTAACTAATTTAAATCCTTCCTATTTTCTTATTGATGAAAATAAGCTGGAGGGTTAGGAGCTCAGTAGATTAGACAAAATAATTAAATAGTGATTTTTAAAAAAAAAATCTTCAAATTCTGAAAATACCAACATGATATGCATTTGTTCAGTTATGAAAAGATATTTAAACGTACATTACAGTATGCAATAATTAAAATTTCAGTAGATAAAATCTGTCTTATTTAATGGTGCATTAAGCTTCAGAAATGAATACATTTTTCTTTGTGTGAAAAGGGAAAATATGTGTTTTATAATATTGTAACAATAGAATTGAGATAATATACATAAGATGCTTATCATCTGAAGAAATAAAAAAACATAGCATTAATTATGAAATGATTTGTTATACAAGTAGCAAAAATGTAAACTGAGTGTTATTTTCAAAATCCATACAAAATACTAAATCACTATAACTGTACTTATTGCCTAAAATCAAAAGAAACTGTAACAGGAATATCCCCTCCCACCAACCCCAACCCCTTCCCCCCACCCCCCCCCAAAAAAAAAAAAAAAAAAAAAACTTTTGAAAAAATAAGTTTTAGCATTTTCATGCTTAATGGGCCTTAAAAGACATACTACATGTGCTACTTAGTATATTGTTTACATTATTTTATTTTTGGATTTATTTACAATTTCTGATCTGTTTATAATAGATACTAAGATATATAGATACTTTCTATCTGATATATCAACTCTATTTTGTAGTAGGCTGTATTTTGTAAAATAAAAATATAAAAATCATATGATTTTCGAAATTCCCTTTGATACTTACATTTAATTTTCTTATGTAAACAGACAGTGCTGTCATCTTTTTAATACAATGATGAAAAATGTGTATATAATGATAAAGAAAAGGTTGTAAATTCAGTGTGAAGTGTTTTATTTTTCATACTCACTATTTCCTGCTAAACTTTTTGAATGACTTCCTTATATGTTAATCATGTACACGCACTTCTAGAATGTTGTATCCCATAACAGCTTCTGATTTACTGATGTAAGCAGAATAAATAAATTCATGTTTTATCTATATAAAATGTATATAAAATGTCTGTCTTCAGCTACATAGGATAGAAAAGCATTAAACTGCTAAACTCCTTAATAAGTAATAGAAAAAGCATTGAAAAACACAAGGCTATCTGATTGTACAAGGGAGCAGGGCAAAAATTAAAAAAAAAAAACTTTCCCGTTTGTCACAATATGAAGCCCCAGAATATATAAACAAATGTACTAGCATTTGAATATGATTTTTCTACCATTATCTCATTCCCTGTCATCATAATAAGTAAACCTCAAAAAAAAAATTTAGCCAATAATCATGCATGCTCTATTTTAATCTCTGACAGTGTAGGTGAGTAATACCTGCACTCCAGGTAATGCACTGTACATTTATAGGTAAACGATTTAACTCTGAACCATTTTAAATAGAAAGGGGTCCAAACTTTGATCAAAAGAAGAAGTTTTAGCATGACTTTATGAACTAGACAGATAGGTGTTGTACAAACCCTGGAGATACAGATTTCTGATAAAAAGTGTTTGTTCAGCAAAATATTGTTTGCTCTTTCTTCTTAATAACATGAGGGATGTACTTCAAAATATAGATAATTTGTTCCATTTCATCTCCTTCATCATGTATGACATGGTCCATAACACTGGCAAAGTGGCACATTACATGAATTATTTCCCTTTTAAATAATAAACAAAGTCAATTTTAAAAATATTCAACCTTAGAATTTTGTATACCAATTGTTTAACATGATTTCACTCCTTGGTCTTCTACAGTGTATTTACATTCATTGAGCCTTTTTCATTACTTTACTTCATCCTTCACTTTGTTCATCCTAAAATGAATTATTTCTTTCCTATACCATACTTTAAAACAAGAAATAAGGAACTCAAATAAGTTGCTATAGATTGGGGTTTACTGATGATTATTATTCTATTATTATAATTTTTAAATTTTGATATTAAAACCCCTTTAACTTTAAATGGACTATTCCAAATTCAAAGCAGGGTAAGTCCATTACATTTATTCAGCATGTTTAAGGTTAATATGTGATGATATTTTACAGAACCAGGATACAAGTGTAGAGGTGTACACATTGGTGAAGAGTGTGGATAACGGAGGTCCTGCAGTAGGCAAATTACGGACTGGGGACTGGATTAGATCAGTGAATGGTACTCCTATTCAAAATCATCAAGATGTAAGATTAGTCTTTGATATACTTGTACTTGTTTTAATGAGAAATCGAGCTTGTGTCTTTGTGGTCTTGTGATTAAGGTTGTTGATATTGAATCACTTGCTATCTACTACAAGTTTGAATCCCACTCAGGAGTTCGAATTCTTTAATATGAAGATGATAATCAACTAACATTCAGACGGTTGATGGTTTTACTAAGGTACAGTGGCATACCTGATTGCTTTGATAATCAACTAACATTCAGAAGTTTGATGGTTTTACTAGGGTACAGTGGCATACCTGATTGCTTTGATAATCAACTAACATTCTGAAGGTTGATGGTTTTACTAAGGTACAGTGGCATACCTGATTGCTTTGATAATCAACTAACATTCAGAAGGTTAATGGTTTTCCTAAAGTACGGTGGCATACCTGATTGCTTTGATAATCAACTAACATTCAGAAGGTTGATGGTTTTACTAAGGTACGGTGGCATACCTGATTGCTTTGATAATCAACTAACATTCAGAAGGTTGATGGTTTTACTAAGGTACGATGGCATACCTGATTGCTTTGATAATCAAATAACATTTAGAAGGTTGATGGTTTTACTAAGGTACGGTGGCATACCTGATTGCTTTGATAATCAACTAACATTCAGAAGGTTGATGGTTTTACTAAGGTATGGTGGCATACCTGATTGCTTTGATAATCAACTAACATTCAGAAGGTTGATGGTTTTACTAAGGTATGGTGGCATACCTGATTGCTTTGATAATCAACTAACATTCAGAAGGTTGATGGTTTTACTAAGGTACAGTGGCATACCTGATTGCTTTGATAATCAACTAACATTCAGAAGGTTAATGGTTTTCCTAAAGTACGGTGGCATACCTGATTGCTTTGATAATCAACTAACATTTAGAAGGTTGATGGTTTTACTAAGGTACGGTGGCATACCTGATTGCTTTGATAATCAACTAACATTCAGAAGGTTGATGGTTTTACTAAGGTACGGTGGCATACCTGATTGCTTTGATAATCAACTAACATTCTGGAGGTTGGGATGGTTTTACTAAGGTACAGTGGCATACCTGATTGCTTTGATAATCAACTAACATTCTGAAGGTTGATGGTTTTCCTAAAGTACGGTGGCATACCTGATTGCTGTCTGATAAATGTATGGAGGTCTTTAAAGCTTAAAAAAGTCGCCATGTCACCTTTACTATGTTGATGAGACTTAAAAACCAAGCCATAAAATAATGATAAAAAGAGAAAATTAAGATGACAATTTAACAGAGTTTTTGCAGACTAATTTTCATGTAGGTCAGCTAAGCAGATGAGTATTTGATAAATCTTTGAAACTTGGCTTCAGGGATACAAATATGTTATAGAAATATTTAATTAAAGAGTTATACATCTGTGAGAGTCTTAAAAATACAAACAAATGTATGTCACAAAATTTTTTCATTCAATTTATTTCAATTTCAATTTTTGGTATTTTTTTATATGTTTGAAGATGTTTTAGGGAGCTACAATACTTTTTAAATTAATAGAAGTCTTTGGCATTGTAACACAATATCATAAGACTTCTCATATTAATCTGCTGGGCTTTTAATCAATTTTTTTATTCACAATTCATTAATACATTGTATATATTTAGAAATTATTTATATTATACAGGCATTTAGCCTTATAACAAAAGGTGGCAACAGCAGTACAATGCGACTAGTGATACAGAGACCAGTTGGTTTTTCTCAACATCCAAATAGTGTACGCACTGACAAGTCAGGTTCGTATGTGCAAGTTACCAGATCGCCATCACCATCACAAAATACTCTGTCCCTCGGAAAGAAAGAACAGGACCCTTTAATTCCAGGAATTATTGAACCGACGAAAGAACCACTGAAAACTGTTCGTCAACAAAACATTTACTTTTCCGACATGTCACGTAGCAATAATGAAACTGAATCGGGTATTGTCCCATTTCCAAGAAATGTGAAATTTCCAAAAGTGCGGATTTTTGTATGCGGGAGTGAGGCAGAGAAGTATGTTAATTTATTGCTACTGGAGTCGGAGATAGATACAGTTTTTCAAAATTCTGAATATACTCACGTTGAGTTTTCCATGGCAACAAATTGTTTCGGAAATGTAGTAATATCAAAGATCTGCTCTGATTTGTATGGAGCTAGTAATCAGTTGAAAACTCATTTATCCAATGTGAATCAGTCAACTGTTAGTGGTGGCGCAGATGTGAAATGTAAGCAGTGTGGTAATGATTTCAACAGTGAAGGTTCATCTAGTGCTGTGGGTACACTAGTGAACGTGGATCTGTTTGTTGTTCCAGACGACAAACTGTTTCACACTTGCTGTACATACTTGTTTACAAAGTCCAGTTTGTTTATTTTGACATTTGATGGGGACAAAATTCTACGAGCAGCTCCGCAGGAATTCTCTCGTCTGTCGAACTTATCACACACAATTCGTAGTTTTGCTGGAGAAGAGTGCCACATCATGTTGTATGGCTTGTTAGAAAGTGGCGCTGAAGCAAATAACAGACTTGATGAAGTGAGTGCACTGTTCTATATGCCGTTTAATACTCAGCTACAGAATCTGAATGTTTCCGGACCAGAACTTATAAACATGCATGGTCAGGCCGCAAGACATACCTGCACCCATTTGAGCCACAACTTTCAGAATTTACTATGGAAGACAGTTACAGACACTATACAGAGGCAGCATGTTTTGCAGCCGTCTTTATTAATCGTGGACTGTTTACGTGCAATTCGTGATCAAGATCTTATTCAGACGGAGGAACAATTTATGAGTGTAATCAAATCGAGATTACCGGACTATAAGCTAGACATTCATCAGATGATTGTTACATATCTGAATACATTTGGAGAAATTATGCTTGGTAGTAAGTATTCATCCTCACATTATATTAAATTGCCTTACTTTTTCAGTTGGCATGAATTAATTTTCTCTATAAACATCATGCTTTTTTTTCTGCATAAACATGATTTTGTCTTCTTATGTGGTTGTATGGCCAAGGATTAGATGGTAATCTAAGGATTGCTAGCAGCGTGGGTTCAAATCCCGTCAGGGGAAAGCCATTGTTTCCAGGAGTAAGAATTTTTACACTCATTGCTTAGTGCAGGTTTGTTCCAAGAATACATTTTAAACTGTTTCTATAAGCTTATAGCTTGCAACACAATGAAATAAAACAAATTTGTTTATTCTTATTCATCCTCTTCTTAATCATGGGCAAAAAAACCCATGTATTTTTTTGATAAATATGATTAATAATTGAATGGTTTAAGATGTTTCGAGAAAAGAAGGTACCATGATAAATTACATGTACATGAAAAAATCACTGCATTTCTTCTTCAATGTTCGATATAGTTGGGTTGTTTTTGTTTTAAATCTTTTATCACCTTCTGTTATTTTTTGTTTACTTTCAGAAGCCACGCCGTATTTCTCGCAAGGTATATATTCTATTGAAAATAAAGTGATGCTCAATCCAAAATTTCTACTTGGTAGTTTATACCATGTAATATCTGTGATATATGATGACAGACAGACATGGAGCCGGACATTGTGCACCGGATTCCTGTCAAAATCCGAGCTCATTCGTTTGACAGGATTTTCGAACAATGACCTATTGTGTAGAAATGTAATAGATTTCTGGGAATGTAATGGACTTATATTTCGTAAGAGACAATCAGATGGAGGCGATGCTGAATTTTTCATCCCATATTTTTCACAAATTCCGAGCAGTAACGAGGTGCCGGTAGCAGGTAAAAAAGATCTGGAGTTGTACTTACAGTTCACAGAGCATGAGTCAAGTCAGACATATTACCAGGTTGTGTTTACACTGGCAGGGTCGTCTCACAGTACAGATAGCCTGGCCATACATGGAAGTCATTGTGCAAGTTTCACAGTCAAAGGATACCTTGTGACAGCATTCCATCAGAAAATGGATAATAGGATCAAATTTATTTTCAGCAGGTTAGTGGAATTTCTTTATCTTAAAATTCAATGTATTTAACTCTTAATCTGTGGAAAAAGTGTGAAGGTTTTGCCCTGAAGTAGGGACAATCCATTCAAAGTTGAAATTCATTCAAAGTTGTAATTGGGAAAATCAATTTAAAGTTGAATTTTGGACAATCCATTCAAAGTTGAATTTGGGCCAATTCATTAAAAGTTGAATTTTGGACAATCTATTTAAAGATGAATTAGGGTTAATCCATTCAATGTTCATGTTAGGATAATCTTTTCAAAGTTGAAATTGGGAAAGTTCATTCAAAGTTAAAAGGATTTCAAGATCACAATACAATAATTGAGTAACAAACAGTATAGAGCCTGGTCAGACTGACACACAGATGTGAAGGGTTGCCTGGCTCTATACTGGTAGCAAAACCTTTACACTTTTAGATTCCAACAGGTTAAACAATAAGGCTAAACAATTTTGGTTTCATTATTTGAATGGTAGGTTAAATTGACTACTGATTTTATACATGTATTTAAAAGTAAAATTAGGTTAGTGTAATATTCATTCTTTACTATGCTAAAATGTTTCTTTATTTTTGGTACATATAACTATTAAAATATTTTATGTTCTAATTTATAGTTAATTAATTTTTAAATCAAGCATAAAAACTTGATGTTTTTCTGTTTTGCAGGGAGGAGAAAGGTGTAGGAGCTAAACCTTCAGAACTTTACACATGGATATATGAGACATGTAGCAGGTGTCTAGAATGTCAGTTTACGCTTTGTTCTGCGTGTCCGCAGGGCGAGTCGTGCCAAAGGAATGCTGTCACAGGCTTACACTTGATAGACCTTAGAGACAGTAAGCCTCAGTTTTGTGGGAATGATAGAATAGATAATACAAAGACTGTAAGGATATGGAACCAAGCCGACTTGGAGGTTAGTGTTATAACTTCTAAATGTTCAAGTCTGTAAATACATGTTACAAACATTCTTAACTCGTGATAAAATACATATTGTACTCTGTTGTATATTATACTACTTTTATAATGTTTAAGCATGTTAAGATACTCCCAAATCATAAGGGCGTCTGTGGCTGAGTGGTTAAAGTTGTTGACTTCAAACCACCTGTCCCTCACTGCTTTAGATTTGAGCTGCGCAAGCATCTTTGGATTCATGTGAAAAGGCTATCCAGATAGCTTACGGAATCTTGGTGGTTCTACTCAGTTACCTATTTGTGTCTGAAATAATGAACTGAGGGGCACTGGAGGTCTTTCTCCACCAGTAAAGCTGGAGGGTCACCATATGACCTATACTGTGTTGATGTGACATAAAACCTAACCAAACAAACATACTAAAATCATATTAACCATTTCAACTTTATTACTACATACTTACATAATAATTTCCTTTTTGAACACTTTAACTAGGACAGTCACTTTTCACAGTAAGTTTGAGACAAGTTTCTTTTCTTATTCTTTTTTTTTCTTGCTTAGATAGCGGTAAGATTCCATTCTGTTTTGACGATAATCATACTTGGTGAAGGTTTTATTTATACTGAATACAGCACTAGTAGTTTAAGTAACATTTAAATAACAATGTCAGTGTTTGCCCCTTCTTTACTTGTCTATTGGACAAAATGTTATAGGTACATGTATTTCTAAAATTAACGATGCTGCTTTTAAATGGTATTATCATTGTGATGTAAATAATACAGATATCACCAGACAGTGTCACATCTCAGAAGATCGGTAAACCAATAAAACAGCCTGTGTTAGTGATGCAGTTACCATGGTCCGTCTTTCACAAACTATGCCTCAAACTAAGGGTGTCTAGTGCATTGGGCAGGGACTGGAGAGGACTTGCAGGTAAGTTATTATTATGTAGGACAAATAATATTTTACATAAAATGAACTTATTTTTCTGCAGAAAACTTTACCCTTCGCCTAAACATTTTCTTTTCATCAGGGGATTTCAATTTTTGGACACAACATGTCATGAGAGAAAATTTCACTATAACATTTTTTCGGGAAGGGAAGGAGGGGGTTGGATTCCCAGTAGGGGTGGGCTGATTTGTGTTTATCAATTTTACAAAGGCATTTTTAGCCCAACTATTCAAAGTATAGGGAGAGCTTTTGTATTCACCCAGATGTAGGTGTCCCACTTTGGTTAAGTTTTTGCATGCAAGTTGGTACATGTATCTCCAAAACTGCTTAAGGGAATAGGTTAAAACTTCACTCCCTTATTTTAAAGCATAGTATGTGGTAACTTTCCAAGGCCCATACATTTAACATGGTTTTTGATAGAATTATGGCCCTTTTAGAACATAGAAAATTATTCATTAACCAGACTCTTGTTTCGCATAGATTATTTTTTCCAATCATTTAGTTAAACCATTGCATAGAGTTTATGAGTGTAATTAATTAAATTATCCAGATAATATTTAATGTCAAACAGGAAAATGTCTGTGTTTTTATCTGTCAGGAAATCAATTGACTATATTAACATGAAATATTCTATAAGCGTATGTCATATACAACTAAGTTTAAAATTCTCTTTTTGTTTTCTCCTCTTTTAACTAGGTCTAATTGGATATAGCACAGAACAAGTAGATGTATATGAAACAACCAACGATCCTGTCAAAGAATTATTATGTGATTGGGGGCGGTCTACAAATGCTACCATAGAAAGCCTCTTTTCTCTCCTCTTACAACTTGAAAGGGTGGATATTGTATCTGACATGCAAGAAGCCCTGCCCCATTTAGCTGCCAGCAGCTCTACCTGTCAATCATTGTGTGAGGACACGCCTCTAGTCAGTAACATAACAATTTATGAACGAGAAGAATCAGACATGCAACAAGCCCTGCCCCATTTAACTGCCAGCAGCTCTATCTGTCAAGCATTGTGTGAGGACACACCTCCAGTCAGTAACATAACAATATATGAGCGAGAATATGATGGGCGGGAGAATGAAATGGTACCTCATGTAGTGCCAATTGGAAATATAACAGTTGCGGAAAGGGGAGTGGCTAATATTGGAATGGAGGATGGTGCAGGTGCAAGTTTAAAGGTGAACAATTTGGATAACAATAATCAGGTTGATACCGTGGCAGGTATAGGGACAGAGGTGATGATAACACCTGTCGAGACACCAGGCAGGGCCGGTTCTTTACAACAATCGTAGTTAGCTAACTTAAGAGATGAATAAAGAGATGCCCACCTGAACAATAATTTTAACTTTTATTCATCTATGTAAATGAAAAGATCAAATAATACAAATGGTAATTGTGGATATATTCCTGAAATATGGAATTTAAACAATGCCACTTGTGTCTCAAATATGCCCAAAACCATATTGAACAGATGTTGTTTTAAAGGTATAATTTTTGTTGAATTCATAGTCTATGAAATAGTGTTATGCTGAAATTGTACATAATTTTTTCATCATCTTTCATTGTATGTAAGTCTGTTTCAAGCAGTAGGTTTATATTGTATGTTTGTTTTCTCTAATATTTTTGATATTACAATTTTTGGTTGATATTATTTCTAGTGTAGTTCAAATTTGATGCTGTTTTTATGCCACCGCAGCATCTGCGATGCGGTGGCATATTGCGATTCACCTGTGTGTGTGTTTGAATGTATGTATGTTCTATAGATTATATAGTGAACTTGTGAAAAACCACTTGTCCAATTTCAACCAAACTTGGCAGGATTGATCCTTGGGTGAAGGGCTTCCAAAGTTGTTCAAAGAATTTCATTCCATGCAGAAATCTGGTTGCCATGGCAACCAAAAGGAATTATAAGAATAAATTTTAAAAAATCTTCTTGTAAAGACCCACAAGGCCTAGAGCATAGATATTTTGCATAACGCATTGTGTGATACTCTACCAAGATTGTTCAAATTATAGCCCTGGGGTCAAAATTGGCCCCGCCCTGGGGGTCTTTGTTTTTTACTATATGTACATATAGTAAAAACTTAAAATACCTTCTTGTCTGAAGGTACCAGGCTTATGGCATTGATGTTTGGTATATGATATCATCTATAGGTAATCTATCAAAGTTGTTCAAATTTTTCCTCTAGCATCAAAATTAGCCCCACCCCGGGGTCATAGGTTTTTCTTTTATGTATATACATGTAGTAAAATCTTATAAAAATCGTCTTCTCAAAATTGACAAAGGCTAGAGGTTAGATATTTTGCATGATACATTGTGTAGTGAACCTCTAGCAAGATTGTTCAAATTATAGCCCTTGGGTCAAAATTGGCCCCACCCCGGGGGTCGTTGATTTTCAGTCACTATGTACATATAGTGAAAAATTAAAAATCTTATTGTCTGAAGGTACAAGGATTAGAGCTTTGATATACTGTACATATAGTGAAAAATTAAAAATCTTATTGTCTGAAGGTACAAGGCTTAGAGCTTTGATATTTGGTATATGATATCATCTAAAGGTACTCTACCAAAGTTGTTCAAATTTTGCTTCTAGTGTCAAAATTAGCCCCGCCCCGGGGGCCATAGGTTTTCCTTATATGTCTATAGTAAAAACTTTTAATCATCTTCTCTAAATTGACAAATGCTAGAGGTTAGATATTTTTCATGAAACATTGTGTAGTGAACCTCTAGCAAGATTGTTCAAATTATAGCCCTGGGGTCAAAATTGGCCCCGCCCCGGGGGTCATTGATTTTCAGTCACTATGTACATATAGTGAAAAATTAAAAATCTTATTGTCTGAAGGTACAAGGCTTAGAGCTTTGATGTTTGTTTTATAATAAAATCAGCCATAGGGCCCCTACCAAAGCTGTTCAATTTTTGCCCCTGGTGTCAAAATTGGCCCTGCCCTGGGGCATTGATTTTCATTATGTACACATAGTAAAAACAGAAACTAAAACAAATGTTTTCTGAATTGGAGAAAGCTACAGCTTAGATATTTGACATGAAAGTTGTTTGGTCGGAAATGTTGTTTGGTGGACCTGTATCAAGATTGTTTGAATTAAACCCTTGGGTCAAAATTTTGCCTTGTACAGCCATGAAATTTGGACTATGTGCAGAGTTTTAGTTGTAAAATTGAACTTTGATAACAGGTGACCTAGATTTTTATGATGTGACCTACATGTACTTTCTTGTCCTTTGATGTGCAGCTATGAAATTTGAACCATGTGCACAGATTAAGATGTCAAGTGAACTTTGATATCAGCTGGCCTAGATTTTGACAAAGTGTTGTCCTTTGATGTACAGTCATGGAATTTTGGCCATTTGAAATATGATGTTCACCACCAAATTCACTAGACTTAACTGCATTGATAGATTCCTACTCTGATCTTTTATTTGAATAATAATAGATTTAACCACTAATCTGATAAAAAGAATTAGATAGGTCAGTGATCTATGCATTATGGCAATCTTCAATTGTATAGAACAAAAAAATTCTGTTCCTACATCACTATTTAGTGTTGTATTAATGCGGTGGCATAGCATTTTTCACAAATGCAATCTTGTTTTTAACTGTTGACGGTATTATTAAAAGTTTTAAACTGGACGTCCATGACAGTGTCACCCTGGTTGTATGTTTTTGGGGGGTCACCCTGAAATTGATAAGCTAAATATGATTATATGATTAGGGGTCAAGTATGCTCTGATAAGTACAGAAGTTCCAGTTCCTTGCAGAAGTGAAGGCAACTAGTACTAGACTGCTTGGCAGCCTGCCCAGGAATGATATGGTGGCTGAACTGTACTCTGGTAAATTCAATGTGGCTTACTGCCATGATCCAGAGTGAAAACTACCAACACCACCACTACCCTCTTTGGTCACCAAATTACTGTTGTTGTGGTGATAAAGGTCAATCTGTCTCTGATTTTATTGTTGTTTGTGAAGTTTTATGTCCGATCATCAGTGCTACTCTGACTTGTAGTTTATATTGTTTGAATGTTTTTATCACTCTGTTTGTATTGTATAGGGTCAGTCTTTAACTCAGGAAGCTTCTGTTAGTTTGTTTCTTTGCTAAAAATGTTCAATCTTTTTAAACATTTCTGATTTTTTTATATATTTTTTAAAATAGATGTCAAAATATCAACATGATTTTTATATGAAGTATCATGCAAAGATTTAATTTCAAATATTAGGACTGAGCATAATATAATGAACTTGTTAATGAAATATTAAATTGTGTATATGAGTAGTTCCTTTTTAGCTCACCTGTCACAAAGTGATTGCTTTTCGTCCGGTGTCCGTCCATCTACCGTAAACTTTTACTTTAAACGACATCTTCTCATAACCCACTGAGCCAATTTTGTCCAAACTTCATAGGAATGTTCCTTTGGTGGTCACTTTTCAAAATTGTTCAAAGAATTTAATTCCATACAGAACTCTGGTTGCCATGGCAGATGCAAATATGAACTTTGTGATATCAGTTTAAGATTTAAATTTTATATCTGCTTTTGGTTATAGTTTACAATATTACTTTTCCTTGTCAAGGAGAGTTTCTATATACAGGTGAGCGATTTCAGGGCCATCATGGCCCTCTTGTTCATATTCTTAAACTACTTAAGAAGCCCCACATTATAGTGCTCAAGTCTCATTAGCCATGAACATTTTGTGATTGTTTTAGATATAAGAAGAGTTTGGTTTTTTATTGTTTTGTTTATATTAAATATAGGTCCTCTACTCAACCTTTAGCTTTCTGAAAAGTTATCTGTCAGAAATTGCCAAAATAGCATTTTTTAATGTTAACTAGCTGTACATCAAAAGCTATAGAAGATAATCTTTGGAATTTTTATTATTCTGATATTTTTGCCTTCATATTTCTGAATGATTACGCACTTAAGTGAACAATATTTTTTAGCTTTTTAAAAAAGCATTGTCATTACAAACCCCCCAATTTTTTGTTTCATTTCTTGTCTAATCATAGAGAATTATAAAAATTACATTTAACCTATAACCTGCTGATTTTGTGTAATGTATTTTCTCATTTGGCATAGTCTACTGTTTAAGGGGTTATATTAACGACACGGAAATATTGGCGAATTTTGCAAATTGACGAAAATAGCACAATTTTCCTCAAACGTATAAAACATTAACCAACCTTTCATTAAATTCTACCCTTCCAGGAAATATTTTCTCATCTAAAAATGTCTGGAATTTCAATTTGCTAACTTTTTGACACACAGAAATATTTAATTATACTGGCATGCGAGCAGTTCCCGTACAGAAGCAGTACCCGTATTTTTCATTTAAACGCTTGATTTTTACATGCATTCTTCAAAAATTCATTTCAAATCAAGCAGATACATAAACGAGACAAAATCTAAGTGTCAGTTCGGCAGTACGTATAAAAAGTCTCATTTTAAATCACTTTCACCTGTGCGTTGTCAAAACGTGACCTTGTTTTATCTGGGGGATTTCCGTCCTTGCGCGCATGCGCAAATATACTTACACGTGAGGCATGTTAAAGGGTTTTCCACTAATACCACTTGTTTACAGATAAGAAGGCAATGTGATGAAAACTTGTTTAATTATCAGAATTTTGACCAATATTACTATATAAAATAATTTTATGGCTTTGATACGTAAAATATCATGCATACAAGCATGCCATCGCATGTGAATGCGTTGGGGGTAACGGTACCGGGTAATAGATACACGCGTTTAGACTGCTTTCTATTTCCTGAATTACATCTATTTATCTCTTAGAAAATTGTCTGTTCAACAATTATAAATAAAAAATAGGTCCGATATAATAAAATTGTATAATTATAATGGGTTAAATTTTATGTACGGGAACTACTTCTCTTCATACAAAATAATGGATAATTTCGGTACCCCATATGAGGCCTCATAACTAAGGGTTATTCTATGTTTAGAACATGATGGAATTTCCATGATTTGTGTGACGAGCTGAATATTGTTGTGTAACATTCAAATTTTGGTGAGTGAGCGTAATGAAAAATAATGTTTAAGTAACTACGATTTTTGTACGGGAACTGCTCGCATGCCAGTACAGTATTTTACTTACAAAATACAAAATCCAGTAACAGTTTAGAGCCTGGTCAGACTGCACAGAAATACTGTCTGGCCTGGGTCTATACTAGTGGCCAAGGCCAATTACTTTTGTTTCCAGCAGGTTAAAGGTCAAATGTCCATAGATATTACTCTTATTTATAAAGCAATATATATCTCCACATGCCTTTAGTAAAAATATGTTGTATGCCTTAAATTTATATTTTAACATAAAACATAATATATTTCTGTATTTGAAATGCTGATCAAATTAAATTTCTATATTTTGCCAAGTTCTTGTTGGTTTTGTCATTTATATCATATTTGTCCACATAGAAATATTTCCTATTTCTACACATGTCAGTTATATGTCTACATACAAATATTTCCATGTTCTATGTGATAAGTTTTTAGCCTGACAAGATGAAGAAAAGTGAAACTATCTTGCTAACTAGAATGAGAGCATGGCATTTCCATTAAAGTTTATTATCCCCCGCCGATGGAAACGGGAGGGGGATATAGTTTTGGCGTTGTCTGTCCGTCCATCCGTATGTCCGAATTTTGTTTCCGGACTAGTTCTCTGCAACTACTGGCTGGAATTCAACGAAACTTTATGGGAATCATCAATATCAAGAGGAGATGCGCATATCGTCGGCTTGTTCCAGTCAGACCCTTTAACTCAGAGTTATGGCTCTTGATTAGTTATGTAGTATGAATATAGAGTAACAATCGTTTCCGCGCTACTTCTCTGCAACTACTGGCTGGAATTCAACAAAACTTTATGGGAACCTTCAATATCAAGAGGGGATGCGCATATCGTCGCCTTGTTCCGGTCAGACACTTTAACTTAGAGTTATGGTCCTTGATTAGTTATGCAGTATGCATATAGAGCAAAAATCATTTCGGCGCTACTTCTCTGCAACTACTGGCTGGAATTCAACAAAACTTTATGGGAACCTTCAATACCAAGAGGAGATGCGCATATCGTCACCTTGTTCGGGTCAGACACTTTAACTCAGAGTTATGGCTCTTGATTAGTTATGCAGTATGCATATAGAGCAAAAATCGTTTCCGCGCTACTTCTCTGCAACTACTGGCTGGAATTCAACAAAACTTTATGGGAACCTTCAATACCAAGAGAAGATGCGCATATCATTGCCTTGTCGGGGTCAGACATTTCAACTCGGAGTTATGGCCCTTGATTAGTTATGCAGTATGCATATAGAAAAATATTCGTTTCTGCGCTACTTCTCTGCAACTATACTGGCTGGAATTCAATGAAACTTAATTTTGGAACCATCAATACCAAGAGGAGATGGGCATATCGTCGCCTTGTTCAGGTCAGACATTTTAACTTGAGTAATGGCCCTTGATAACTTTTGCAGTATACAACCAGAGCAATAATCGTTTCCGTGCTACTTTACTGTAACTACTGGCTGGAATTCAATGAAACTTTATGGGATACGAAGAGGAGATGTGCATATAGTCACTTTGATCCGGTCAGACACTTATAACTTAGATTTATGGCCCTTGATTAGTTATGCAGTATGCATACATCTCATTGGCATTTCCAGATATTACTATTTAACACAGAGTTATGGCTCTGTTATTGCCCTGAATATTTATCAAGTTCAAAGAATATTACTGTTTATGCCATAATAAATATATAAATAAAGCCTAATGTCTTCAGTTGTTGTGTTAGTAATAACCAGTACTCGGCGGGGGATATAAATTCAACGAATTTGCTTGTTGTGTCACATCTTGTACAACATCATATCTCATCAACCATATATATATATTTTGCTGTACCTCAAATCATAATTCTCTTTTGTTCCCGAGACCAAAGAATATACAGTTGTTGATCCAGATAGTGTTCAATAGTGCCTTAGCATTACCGGCACACAGAATGCCCTTTTCATAGAGAATGTTAATTTCCAGGTCAAGATATTGGGCAGTAGACTTCATTGGCTTATCTCCTTTTCCTAGCCTTTTAAGTGATTTTTGTTGCAACTCAGCTTATAAATGATTATTCTAGAAAATGTTTGGTGAAAACATGGTCTGTGATGTTGCACATAACTTATTGGTTCTGAATCTGAACAACATCAAATGGTTCTAATTCAAAAATTATTACCAGTCTTGATATGTCAATCCTCAGTGGAATATATCTTTCACAGTGTTTGTTTCAATGACGTCAACCCACCGACCCTTTGAAAAAGGGTTTTAAATGCTCTTAAATAGATTCTACACTTGATTTATCAATGTTTTATATACTGTCATATATAATTGCATAAAAACTGCACATGCAGCTATACTTAAACGGAAGATCTAATAAAACCATGCTATTGTAGTATGTATTTATACATGTATGTGGGTGACTTAATAGTAAAAATAGCTGACTGTAATGATGGCTCAAGAACTTTCATTATCTCATAACTGTTAAATGACATCTCTTTTACACTTTGAAAGGCATATAGAGACGATTAATTGTGGTATTACTAAAATCAGACGGGGCGTCCATGGCTGAGTGGTTAAGGTTGTTGACTTCAAACCACTTGCCCCTCACCGCTGTGGGTTCGAATCCCAACAGGGACTTAAATTGGATTCTTTCATGTGAGTAAGCTATCCTGCTAGCTTACGGAGCTAATTTTTGACAGACAAACAAATGGACCACGGACAAGTTTTGACCACAATGCATGATTATACTACTTGAGCTAATAAAAACATTTGCATTGAAAATTCTTGACAAATAAAAGCACATAAACTTTATGTGTTCAAGTAAAAGTATAAAGATGGTACAGAAATACTGTAAAAAGTTTTAACTCTTTGTGTGCAACATGTGTTTTCTACAGGGCTTTCTAGATATTACTCTTCTGCAGAAAGAGCATGATGCAGTTGTTCCTTCCAGATGTGTTGCGCAAACCATACAATATTGGTGATTCCTTACCGCAGGGAATCAGGAAGACATTCCGATCCCTTTCCTTGCATATTATGCACTTGGGGGTGAAGGACTGCTTGTTGAATACCACCTAAAATACAAAGAAAAGTAGCCTTACTAAATAACTTCTGACTAACCATGCGTCAATCGCAATAATACTGTCAATTATTTCCTGACTCAAATATGTGGTCAAAAACACACCTTGTTGGTTTTACATGACGCAGCTAAACTGATATTGTTAAATCCTTAACATGATACAGTCAAACCTTAAAATGATACAGTTGAACCTTATAATGATACTGTCAAATCCTTAACATGATATAGTCAAACCTTAAAATGATACTGTCCAATCCTTAAAATGATACTGTCCAATCCTTATAGCTCAAAAACATTTGACCTATAGTTATGACATAAGTGTTGGTCAGCATCTGAAGTTGTGCACCTGGGGTTTTTGGCATGTGGATTAATTCAGTTTTGTCATAGTTATTGCTCTTGACTGAGTAAAAATTTGCAATTTTCAACTTCTGTTACACCTTGCTCAACTAATGTTTAACCTAGAAACAGTTGGAGGCTTTTTTTTATATTTAATCTGAATTTGTAGAGTATGGTACATGTATTTAGTGCACTTGACAAAAAATATTCAAAATGTTCTGCCATGTGTAGAATCAACAAACTTTACAAGAATGTTGATCAGCATGTGAAGCTGTGCACCTTGTGTTTTGCATGTGGATTTATTCAGTTTGTCATAGTTATTGCCCCTGACTTAGAACAAATTTGCAATTTTCAAATTGTGTGATGATTAGCTCAAAAAGTATTTTGACCTTTAGTTATGAAAGTTTACAGGACTGTTGGATAGCATGTTTAGTTGTGCATCTACTGTTGGGAAATATCAGAATGTCAACATTAGAAAAAATTGGATATTATTTTTTATGCCCCAACCAGTTAGAGTTAGGGGGTAGTCAGTAGACTGTGGAGTGTGGGGGTACCAGTGTCCTATGTCCTATGGTCAATCATTTCAGAAAGCCCTTATAACATAATTATGATCTGAACAAGGAAATCATTTGTAAACCATACTTCTTTATTAATTTTTCTATGAAATGCATTGTGACTATGAACCACAATTACTGATATTCTCAAAGAAACTTTCTTGATATGATTAAATACCTTTTCATAGTCTGCAATTTTCATGTGTTTTCAATGTTTCCGAGGGATTTTTTTTTCCAGATATTCATACATCACAACAGCAGGTGTCAAGTGCTGTTTGACAGCCGTAAAAATTTGCCCCGTACTTCACTTCAGTGTTGCTTAATTTTTCTTGGTCTTCAGGATCATTGAGTGCAATACTTTTAAGTGTTGAGAATTTAATACCGCTCAAGCCGGTGCTAGGGGGCATGAGAGATGTTGCACTTTTTCATTATCCCTCATGTACAGACTCAATCAAACCGAGTCTACAATTGTCATGTAATTTTCCTGTTATTAATGCTTCCGAGGGATCACTTTTTTCCAGACATTTCATAAAGAAATTTTAAAAACATTTAACATACACACAATATGCTATTCACTGTTATACATTAATATGACAGAAACAGTCTGTTTACGCTTGAAACACATGATATCTGGCAATATGGTGTGTTTTTCACAAGAATTTTGTACAACCTATGAAAAACATGAATATTCATGTGCATCCATACATGAAAAACATAAGTCTTTACCATATTTACAGAGCATAGAGTCTACCTTCCTTAGAGAAACAATATGTTTCCAACCATATGAAAAACATAAGTTTTTACCATATTTACATAGCATAGAGTGTCAGCTTTCCTTAGGGAAACAATATGTTTTTAACCATACGAAAAAACATTTGTCTTTACCATATTTACATAGCATAGAGTGTGCTTTCCTTAGTGAAACATTATGTTTTTAACCATATGAACTTTACCATATGTAAAACATACAGGGTACTTTTCTCGGAGACACCATATGTTTCTAACCATATATAAAACATGTGTTTAACAGTGGTATGATCTGCACTTTACCAAGATAAAATCACTGAAATACTTAATTTAAAGCAACACAGGATTGTTTTTCCAACAGAAAATAAAAGTTGAAGGTTGCTTTAACATTTAAAATAAAACCATGTATTTTGAAACATTATATAACATTATTATACAACCACAGACTTCATAGCTGGTGATTATGATATGTTCTAAATTAAAACTGTTTTGCAAGTGAATATCTTTATGTGCCGTATCACGACAAAACCAACATAGTGCGTTTGGGACTAGCATTGATCAAGACACAGCCTGCGCATCCACGCAGTCTGATCAGAATCCATGCTGTTCGCTATCAGTTTTTCTACTTGTAATAGGGCTTGTAAGCGAACAGCATGGATCCTGATCAGACTGCAAACCCATTATGTTGGTTTCGTCATGGTGTGGCTCATTTTATATGGCTTATCAAATCAGCCTCTGTCTACAACCCAAATCAACATTTCTTCAGCTTGTTTACTTTTTCTATTGTTGAACCCTATCTGTTGAAGAGAACACACAGGAATGTTAATACTCCTGAATAAACCTATTAAAGACATCAACAACAATTAAGACTACTTTGATTTTTATTTATATAATTTGCCAACGTTTCTTCAGAATAATAACAACAAAACTAATGCAACATCAAGTCATATCATTAGGTATTTAGGTGAATTTTCAGAATATTTATTTTTAAAGAAAAAACTAAATATATTTTAAGGGGAAAAAAGGTTGAATATAATTATAATATATATAATTTTTGCAGTCTGAACAACTCGGAGAAAAAGGCATTTCAAAGCTATTTATAGATTATATAACGTGCTTGGGTGGCCTCTCTGTCATAACAGGTATACATTTTAAAGTAGGTAAGTATTTTGGAAGAATCTTTTATATACTTTATTTTACATGAAGAAAGGGAGACAACCAGTGACGGTAATGGCACAAGGATAGTTCAAGGGAGATAATATGACAAGTAAATAGAATTGGCAGTGGAACGAATAAGAAAAAAGCATTAAAATATGTAGCTCATGATTGTTCAAGAGAAAGCTCTAAATAAATAATTTTGATTAGAAGAGAACACATTATTATCATATTTATTTGAACATAAAAATCTATGCATACCCTGTATACATGTTTGAAGTGTATGATAATTTACTGAGTATTTTATTCAACCTATGAAATGAATTATACTTGATATTGCTAATGTTTTTTAAATAAACTAATTTACAGTCATCAAATGCTCATCTTTCTTAGCCTTTAACCTGCAGGAATTAGTTAACAATGATGAGCATTTGCCACCAGTATAGTGCCCAACCAGTATGCACATCTGTGCTTAATACAGTTGGCTGTGTTATTTTTCATCTTGATATCCCAAAATTGAAAATGGGCAATTACAAAATATGATTTCATGTCAGTGAATTTCACAAATGTTTTATTTGTCAATGTATGTCACAAATGTTTTACTTGTCAATGTGTGTCACAAATGTTTTACTTGGCAATGTGTGTCACAAATGTTTTAACTTGTCAATGTGTGTCACAAATGCTTTACCTGTCAATTTGTAATACAAATGTTTTACTTGTCAATGTGTGTCACAAATGTTTCACAAATGTTTTACTTGTCAATGTGTAATACAAATGTTTTACTTGTCAATGTGTGTCACAAATGTTTTACTTGTCAATGTGTAATACAAATGTTTTACTTGTCAATGTGTGTCTCAAATGTTTTACTTGTCAAAGTGTGTCACAAATGTTTTACTTGTCAATGTGTGTCACAAATGTTTTACTTGTCAATGTGTAATACAAATGTTTACTTGTCAATGTGTGTCACAAATGTTTAACTTGTCAAAGTGTGTCACAAATGTTTAACTCATCAATGTGTGTCACAAATGTTTAACTTGTCAATCTGTGTCACAAATGTTTAACTCATCAATGTGTGTCACAAATGTTTAACATTTTTCAATGTGTGTCACAAATGTTTAACTTATCAATGTTTGTCACAAATGTTTTACTTGTCAATGTGTGTCACAAATGTTTAACTTGTCAATGTGTGTCACAAATGTTTAACTTGTCAATGTGTGTCACAAATGTTTAACTTGTCAATGTGTGTCACAAATGTTTAACTTGTCAATGTGTGTCACAAATGTTTAACTTTTCGATGTGTGTCACAAATGTTTTACTTGTCAATGTGTGTCACAAATGTTTTACTTGTCAATGTGTGTCACAAATGTTTAACTTGTCAATGTGTGTCACAAATGTTTAACTCATCAATGTGTGTCACAAATGTTTAACTCATCAATGTGTGTCACAAATGTTTTACTTGTCAATGTGTGTCACAAATGTTTTACTTGTCAATGTGTGTCACAAATGTTTAACTTTTTCGATGTGTGTCACAAATGTTTAACTCATCAATGTGTGTCACAAATGTTTAACTTGTCAATGTGTGTCACAAATGTTTAACTTGTCAATGTGTGTCACAAATGTTCAACTTATCAATTTTTGTCACAAATGTTTTACTTGTTAATGTGTGTCTCAAATCTTACATTCTTATTTAATTAGGTGTGTTACAATTCTTTATTGTTAGTTTGTGTCACAAATCTATCATTAGTATGATTTCCATATTGGTATGTCAATAATCATGTACAATTATGTTGGTATGGGCATTTATCATTATATAATGACAATTATCATATTTTAAAAAACTGATATAGAATAATAAATTTATACACTAAACACAGTATTTAAGCACATAGACAGGTGAACAGTAAAGAAAATTGGACGCTAACTGACTAAAAGTTTGAGACACTCTTTTATTTGATAAAAGGAAACAGAAATAAAATTAAAATTACCTTCAATCTTAACTTATGTTAGATAAAAAAATCATAGAAACTTGGGTAGGGGCATTTTTAATCCTGTACATACTTGTACGAGTGTGTAGTCTTTAAATAAAGATATAATTTAAATTTGATATAACCTGCTAGTTTGAAAATCGGTCAAATTTACTTCAAGCACATTTTATTGCACCAAACAGACATATTATCTTTACTGTTTTCTATATATATCAACAAGCTAAAGATGTCCACCCAGAAAATTGTTTCATTTTTTTTTTAAAAATTGAAGTTTTATAAAATACAAAATATTTAGCATAACTAAATCTACTCCTTTAAAAAATTTTTTTTTTATGATATTGTCAAACTTGGCCAATTTTCAAACAAGCAACTCATGTTAATTTGATATTATATTCTTTAGATGCCATACACTCTGATAGTACGATAAAATATTCAAATATAAGAGAAACATTAAAAAAAAAAAGAAAAGCAGTTACAGTATCGGAAAAATGCACAGTTATAAGAATCAAAAATATGCGCCGCAATAGGTGGTTCCATTTCCAAGTTCCTTTGAATATAATACCATCATAATACATGTAACTCTTCTGCCTGACTGACAATAACAACAAATCTACACCATTTTTAAAAAATGATCATTTTACATAAAAGAGACAGAATAAATAACAAAAGGATTTCTGGGTAGTTATAAACAATTAATAAAAAATCTAAAAGAATATTTTGAAATATATATATAAACATGACGAATGGTGCAGCACTTTAATGTTCATACTTTGAAATGTTCTAATGAAATAAATAACTTCTTAAGTCACAATCTGAGTATATCATATAAATTGCACATACAGCTTTATGCTGCTGTTTTGTTGGGTTTTAAGTCACATTGACCCTATAAAGGCTGCATAGCAACTTTCCCACTTTACTGGTAAAAGGAAACCTCAGGTGGCCCTAAATGCATTATGTCAGGCACAAACAGGCACCCCGAGGTCTCCCTCTACCAGTAAAGCTGGAATATAGTAGAGCCATCAATATTCTATAAGCAAGCCCTATAGCTTCTTTAATGTAAAAATGTACAGTTTTATAAACTTGACTTGGAACTTTGTCTCATTTCAAGTCATTACTTTAGTCTTAAAATATTCATTGTAGCATAAAATTCTATAACTTTATTTTGTATGGTTTAAATTAAAATATAAGTATAGCAACATTCAATGTTAGCATAATATTACATAATATTATAAAACATTAATTAAGCTTAATGCAAGTCAATTTAACATCACTCAATAACAGCAAAACATTATCTAATGTCAGAATATCATTATTCCAAGTCAGCATAGAATTATTTAATGTCAGCCTAACATAATATTATCTGCATTGCATAAAATGTTTGCATAACATTGTGTGAATAACCTTATTTAATGTCAGAATAACATGAAATATTATACATGTATGCATAACAGTTTTTAATCTTAGAATAACATTATTACATGTCAGCATAACATTATTGCATGTCAGCATAACATTTTCCATGTCAGCATTACATTATTTAATGTCAGCATAACATTATTTCATGTCAGCGTAACATTTTGAATGTATGCATAACATTATTGATGTATGCATAATAATTAATAATCAGCATAACATTATTCATGTCAGGATAACATTATTTAATGTATGCATAACATTTTTAATGTCAGCATAACATTTTTCAAGGTCTGCATAATATTGTTAAATTTTAACGCAAGAAATCACACTAGAATGTAAAAAACAAGAAAAAAACAATGTTATCAGATAATATGATATTTATATTAGTATCACATACTACATCAAGTCATAGTGTAACATTCACAAATATCAGCATAACATATCAGTTTAGAATACTAGCACAGCATACCACAACCTTAGCATATCACAAGAAATTCTGCATAACATATTGTTCATTCAGCATAATATACCAGGAATATCAGCACAATATACTCATATATATTGCAATGAGCTTCAATTACAATTTGACAATGATATACATCAAGCTATTTTTTTTCTAAAAGTACTAGTTACTTAATGTATAGTTTGTAAACTATGAACTTATAAATATGAAACTAGTAAATTATATCAAATATAAAGTGTACTCTAATGTAGCCTATAGCACAGCTATAGTTGTTGAATTATTGCTAAATTTCCCACTCGTAGTCGACAGGGTCGGGCATCTGATAGAGTGACAGTCTGACAGCACGTTGTCGTTTCTCTAGACCCATTTGTATGGCTCTTATCACATTATCTTCATGATGTACACGCTGTATTGTATTTTTATGTGCGGAATGAGAACGATTTCTAATGTACCTCGATTTACCAGCATTGGGTACACTAATTTCCCGAACTATAGTTCTCGGATGTGAGCGACTATCATATCGTTCTTCTGATCGACTTCTGTTATGATAAATACGTGGGTTGGCTTCTCTCATAACAACTTGTCTCCTCTGTGTGTATCTATGTTCTCGAGGCTTTGGCGAAATAATCCAGTTAGCTTCCCGTACAGGTCTATTGCCGTAGACTAAATGCTCGGGATGATCTACTAATCGTCGGGTAGAATGAGGACTATATGAACTAAAGTTGGACACATATCGCGGTGAAGGATTACTTGAATGATGTCGTGAGTGGTGCGATTCTGAAGAATGGTGACGGCCACCATCTGACCGAGGCTCAGATTCGGATCTCCGATATGGTTGATTTGGGGTTGGTAAGTGAAAGTTCCCATCAAGACCATCTATATTATCTCCTGATTTATAAATAAGATTTTATTTTCTAAAACACACAAAAGTAAAAAGGCTGAAAAATGCTCTACTTAATAAAAGGTTGAAAAAAAGCTCTAGTTAACACATTTTGTATAAGGTTTATATAAGTATTAAGAGAAGTTTAAAAGGCTATATAAATTTGTAGCTTTTTAAACAAACCATTGCTTATTTAGGATTTGGCAATAAATATTTTTAGTCTATACAAATTTATTTTTGTTCAACTGTGTTGGAAACTATTAGCTTATTGAAACACTCTCCAATCCATTCCTGGAATCAACCAGTACTAAGCAATAAGTGTTAAGTTTCTTACTCAAGGAAACAATGGCTTGTCCGACAGAGTTTGAACCCATGCGGTCAGCAATCATAAGATTACTTGTCTGATATATGTATTAACAACTCGGCTACTTAAATATTCTTCAGACCAAAATGAAAATATTTTTCAAACTTGAAAAAGATAAGGGCAGTACATGAATTTGTAGATTATTTTCATTACAAACTTCTAATAATGTGATTAATAATGTTGTTATAGAAATTTTACATACCTCCTTCATAGCGTTTGATATTCATATTGATTCTCTTGGCTTTTGTAAGCATAACAATTTGTTTTTCCGACAGCTCCCGGACACTCACACCATCAACCTATATGAACAAACATTGTATAGTAGTACTTAATTCTATAACTCAATGACCTGTCAAATTTTTTCAAGGTTAACTCTGTGTGCATATTGTGCTTCCTGCAGATACCATGTCCCAATCGGTATCAAAGTAATACAAACAAAGTGGTATTTGCATATAAAGCACCACTCCTAAACAATTGGCAGATTAACCTAAATCTTATTGTCTTTGATCATAATGACAGAAACATGTACTTTTAAGTAAAGATCCAGCAATACCACAATATAATAAGTCAATGAAAATAAGTCTTTTTTCATTCTTAAAACTTTATGGAAATACATGTAGTAAGTACCTTGGTACGGGAGGGCACCACCCCATGTTTATGTTTTATAATAGATTACAAGAAGTGAATCTATGAGAGTAACAAAACATCTTGGTAACAAGAGCCATGTCAACATGGCCATCCCCCGCCGAATGTGTTTGCTCATTGGAAGAATGTATATGTAGTAGAACAGAATAATTTCATTTAAAGAGGTCTTTTGGTAATGAAAACTGATGGCTATAGTGATTACAGATTTGAAACCTATGTGAATACTGATGGCTGAAAATAACAAAGGGCAATAACTTAAAAATAATGCAGGGTAGGTTATCATTCTTGTGTGCTGCATCCCTCCTCAGTAAAATCTATCCACCTATGAAGTTTCAAGTTGATACCTCAAACACTTTTTGAGAAAAAAATTGAATTGAAATATCAAGTATGAAAAATAACAAAGGGCAATAAATCAAAAATTATGAAAGGTAGAGTCATCATTCTTGTGCAGTGCACACCTCCTGAGTGAGATCTATGCACCTATGAAGTTTCATTTTGATATCTCAAAGGCTTTTTGTGTTATGCTCTGGACAAAAATTAATTTTGAAAAATAACAAAGGGCAATAACTCAAAAATAATGCAGGGTAGAGTTATCATTCTTAAGCACTGCACTCCTCCTCAATGAGATCCATCCACCTTTGAAGTTTCAAGTTGATACCTCAAATACTTTTTGAGATAAGCTCTGGACAAAATAGGATGAAAAAAAACAAAGGGCAATAACTCAAAAATTGTATAGGGAAGAGTTATCATTCTTGCGCACAACATTCCTCCTCAATAAGATCTATCCACCTATGACATTTCATGTTGATATCTCAAACACTTTTTGAGTTATGCTCCACTCAGGTGAAAAATTAGGTATGAAAAATAACAAAGGGCAATTACTCAAAAATTATGAAAGGTAGAGTTATCATTCATGTGCACTGCACACCTCCTGAGTGAGATCTATGCACCTATGAAGTTTCATGTTAATATCTCATAGGCTTTTGGAGTTATGCTCTGGACAAAAATCAATTTTGAAAAATAACAAAGGGCAATAACTCAAAAATCATGCAAGGTAGAGTTATCATTCTTGTGCACTGCACTCCTCCTCAATGAGGTCTATCCACCTATGAAGTTTCAAGTTGATAACTCAAATACTTTTAGAGATATGCTCCGGACAAAAATGTCGGACGGAAGGACGGACGGAAGGACGGAGACTATTTCTATATCCTCCGCCGAAAATTTTCGGCGGGGGATAATAACCGACAAATAGTTCATATCATGGTGATTTACACTTTAACCTTTATTCTGTTGCAGACCACAGACCCTCCCCATACTACCAGTGCAGACCAAGATCAGCCTGAACTATTTACTATTTGGTTAGCGCTTTATTTTTTGAAAAAATTTCTGTTTGCGATATGATAAATGGTTTTGTCCAGATTGAAAGACGAACAAGTCTGTTTATAAATTTCTTTAATGTAGTAATGGTTAAAGACTTTCTATTCTGATGATGAAGTAACATTTTATTATTAACATCTATGTTTGTCTACAACAGCAGACATAAAATAATTTCTTCAATACATGTTATCCAAAACTTGTCAAATGTGTATTTTTCCTAGCTAATTTGTAGGTACAAACAAACTTTACTGTTAGAGCTTAACCGTGCACTACCCCTCACAATAGATTAGTCAACCTCTTGCGTTTATTTTCGAAGCTGTAACTGTAAAGTTTGTTCGACTACCCACTGATTAGCTGGGAAAAAAAACAGAGTTAGTCTATTCAACCAAACATTTAAAAGAAATGGTACTTTGGTACATACCTTATATATCAGATCATGTACTTGTAAACCAGCTTTCTCTGCTGAAGAATTAAGTTCCACACTCTGTACAAGCAAGTCACTTGATGGTAGTCTATAAATAGTAAAGATAACATTGTATTTATTCTCATAATACTGTAATATGCTTAACAACTGAATCTACTCATGCAGCCAGTGCAGATCATGAGTTGCTAGCTCATCTGTGCCATCTAATCATGGTCTGCCCTGTTTGATATTCAGTCAAGTCTAATTTTGAAGTTTTTCCTAAAAATGATGGAATGGTTTTGTCCAGATTGAAAGATGGACAAGTCAGTGTAAGACATTAAAGTCAGTGTAAGACATTAAGCAAAGGTTTAACATGGATATTCACTAGAATGCTTGAACAAGTAAAATGACAATGTATTATCTTCTGTAAAAACAAAGAAAAAATATTGTTACATTTTTCTTTTCTTTAAGTCTTTCTATTAAAGAGACATTTGATTAACTCATAACCTACAACCATGATATCTTATAAGTGAACAAGCTTCACACCGACCTTTGAGTTATACAGCCAAGTCTTCCGGTATTTGAGGGATACACAACAATTTCAAGATCCTTTATGGGTTTCCTTGAGACAGCTCTGTCAACATCATCTGTAACAACCAATGAAAACTCTTGTAATCAAAGGTACTCTTTATGAAGGAGGTTGAAAATGATATACATGTATGTATAAAGTTTATTGGTCAAGTGGTTACACTGTCTGACAACAAATCCAGGGATCCCCAGTTTTATTCCTGTTAAAAAAGACTGAGGTCCTGTGTAATGGCAGTTTATATATTGCATGTTTAAGAACCAGTTGTCTTTTTTAACCTTTACTCTGGCTAGGTAAGAAATTCAGCAGGTTAAATGTTAAGGAATGCAGCTATTTCTTTATTTGTTGTACTATTCCCTGATAATAAAAATTGCTATAAGTTTTTTGGAATGATCAAGTTTCCCCTCTTATACTGTATCAATTATTGGATGGGCCATGTTTTCTTAAGGTTTGACATAAAAAATGTCTGAAAAATGGGCCAAACTTTTACACCAATTAAATTTGGCTAAATATGTCAACTATTAAAGAGCTTATAATGGGTTTTACTCTATTTAAAATTTAAAAGACCGTAACAATACAAATTGTGGTGATTTCAACAATCTATAAAATTACACATGAATCCTCATATTTCATTAATGTTTTCTTAAAATTCTGAGTTAAATATTGACTTTAGGTCAAATTTTTTCCCCAATTAACAACATTCACCCCACTTATCTCAAGTAAGTTGACATTTCCATTCAAGTTATGGAGGCTCGGTCATCGTAAAAAATCTTGTCTGTCATTTTCGTTTGTTTGCTCAATAAGGTCATCAAATAAGACAAGACCAGATAATTACATTAGCACATCTTAAATATTAATCTTTTTATTAAATATCTATCTTAATTTAGTAAAACTAATGAGGTGAAAAAAAATTTAGTCCATAAACGGTTATTCATCTTTTATACTTGATCAAGGTTACAATTTATTACATGGGATCAAAGGAATTTTTGTGCAAAAATTACACAATGGCATTTAATAACAATGAAATTACTTTCACATTTTCAGAATTCTTCATTTTTGGAACAATTAACTTTTATTTATTTTTCAAATATTGTACCTGTTATACCAATACAATGCCTGTTTTAAAGATTTGTATGAAAATATATTAGTTACTAAATTAAATTGCACAACCAGTAGACCTAGAATATGACTCCTGACTTCATAGTCAAATAGACGTTACAACTTCAAGACTTGCAAACCCAGAATCCCCCCAACCCCAACCTTTTCCAACACATTCACATACAACCCCCCCCCCCCACAAAAAAATAAAACAAATAAAAAAATTTAACAATGCATGTAACAGACATATGTCTTGTGTGCTTATTACATTACATATACAGATGTTAACTAAATACAAAATAACATCACAGCTTATTTACATACAGTTAGTCACTACATTGACAGTTAGGGGAGATGACTCTTAAATGTGGTTCACCATACTGGTAATACTGTTGTTGTTTTTTTGCCATTTCATAAAATACTGTATGGTTTACTTTTACATACTTTACTAAAGTTTTGCCCTTTCACTATATATCATTCTGTATGGTTTACTTTAGCAGACTCTACAGAGTTATTGCCCTTTCATAATATACAGTATGGTTTACTTATACATACTTTATAGAGTTATTGCCCTTTCACAATATACAGTATGGTTTACTTATATTATACTTTACAGAGTTATTGCCCTTTCACAATATACAGTATGGTTTACTTATATATATACTTTACAGAGTTATTGCCCTTTCACAATATACAGTATGGCTTATTTATACATACTTTACAGAGTTATTGCCCTTTCACAATATACAGTCATACTTTACAGAGTTATTGCCCTTTCACAATATACAGTATGGCTTATTTATACATACTTTACAGAGTTATTGCCCTTTCACAATATACAGTATGGCTTATTTATACATACTTTACAGAGTTATTGCCCTTTCACAATATACAGTATGGCTTACTTATATATACTTTTCAGAGTTATTGCCCTTTCACAATGTACTGTACGGCTTACTAATACATACTTTACAGAGTTATTGCTCTTTTAAACTAAATGTCCATTTCATAAAAAACTAAATAGTAAAACTTGACTCACAGTTTCTTTAGTTATGCATGGATATCAAAATTCTACTCGAAATTTAATGAATTTTATTTAAAGATAATAAATTAAGTAAACCTGTATCTTCTTCATTTTCATTGGGTCTTTCAATGAGGATAATGAGGTTCCATGCATTCCTCATAATCATGACAGCTTCTGCGTGGGTTATGTTGTGAAAATTGTGCCCATTCACTTCCAATATCTTATCACCCACTTGCAAACCCTAAAATCAACAAGAAAATAATTTCACTCTATATATTATTTGTCATTTACTTTAAATTTAATTATTCAATATGATATTTTATATTAAATCAACAAAAAACTTATTCTTGCTAATTATATATTTGCTTTATTACTAGTATATAGTCTCTTGAGGTAACATAAAATACTTTTACACTGAGTTTTATTGATATTTTATGCACTCATTCGGTCCCTTAAATCAACAAAACCATGATCTTGCTAATTACATGTATAAATTTGTTATATTGATTTAATATAAAGTTAGATTACAATACAAAATACTGTAAGTTCACTTACATCAATAAAAGAAACTGTTATGTGTCATGTGCACCCTAATTATGATAATTGTTATATATAATAAATTCCAAAGTCGAAATCTCATTACAAAATATTGGTTATATCTAATATTCTCTACTATAAAATCAATATATGACAGTTGAGTATAATTATATTCATGATATAAAACAATGATTTCTCCACTTCACTCCTGAAAATGTGGTAGAAGAGTTGTTTAGCTCATGTGGAGAAGTGATATTGCCAATAAACCAGATATTCTATGTAAAGCAAAAAATGTGTTAAAGTGACATTAAGCCTATCCATGTGTAAATGGTAAGTGTAGAGGTAAAAGTCAAATAACTTTACATTTTGTCAAAATTGTGTTCATCTTTATATTTTACAATGCAAAAATAAGAAATAAACCATGTGCCCCACAGAAATTTCTATTAAATTAATAAGATTCAGAATGTACCAGTTACATAAGAAATAATTATAAAAAGAATGGGGCACTTTTTTTATAATTTTTTTAGTTTTTTTTTTTTCATCCACAACTTTTTTTCAATCATTTGCCACTCACCATAATAAAATTTAATCTTTTGAAATATATTTTCAGGTAAAAATGAGCATAATGTCACTTTAATGATATATATATTAATCATTTTTAACAATCGATTGCTTTACATCACTAGACGGGCATAAATTTCTAAAAAAAAAAAAAAAAAAGAAGAAAGAAACAGGGAAACAAACTTTTGAGATTTTATCATCATTATATTAATCTGTGGTAATTTTAAATTATCGACCTAACTCGCAGCATGACAAACCACAAAGAGGCATGGCAGTTGCTATGTACATGTATGGTATAAATACACATCAACAAATACAACAGAATATGTGATGCTTGGAACTAATGATGCCATTTGTTATTCATATAATAATCATTATACACTCAACAGTTTATTAACACTACTAATAATTTCATTTCTACATTCTTGTCCATGGCAAAAATTAAGTGTGGTAATGTTGAAAGGATATATGAGCTGCTTCACGACAAAACCAACATAATGGGTTTGCGACCAGCATAAATCAAAACCAGTCTGCGCATCCACGCAGTCTGATCAGGATCCATGCTGTTCGCTATCAGCTTCTCTACTTGTTAAAGGGTTTGTAAGCGAACAGCATGGATCCTGATCAGACTGCGCGGATGCGCAGGCTGGTCTGGATCCATGCTGGTGGCAAATGCACTATGTTGGTTTTGTCGTGACGCGGCTCATATAATCTAAGACATCTATTCTATAGAATTATTTAAGGGAGCTCAACTGAGGTCTATGAGGCCAAAAACATAAAATTTGAAAATGCTTACATTTAAACACTTTTCGATTTTATGTCATTTTGCACAATAAAATGATCATTCTGAAAATCGAAACAAAGTTAGAGAAAGATCTAAAATTGTGCACACAAGTTATTGGTATATATCTAAATCATCTGGTGTAAAAATCTCAAGTAAATATTTCCAGTAAACAACTTAGTGGAGTCCCTTTAACAGAAAGTCGGCTGACATTACCTGTGAGGCTGCTGGCCCTTCCTCTTCTACCACATTGATGACCAGTTCCGTACCATACTCCTTCCCTCCTGTTATACCAAGCCCTAAACTCCCGTCCTCATGACGATTCAAAAACACTTTATGAACATTCTTCTTCCCTTCTAAGTGAATGGGAGTTGCTCGACCATTACCCTGATTGTCCTTCAAAGCCTCTATTTCATCAAAATCATCATCATCACTATCACTTCCATTGCTGTAAACACCACTCGTAATGCTGGTCCCTGGCAAGGAACGTAACTCATATGTCTGTTTTTGATTATTGTATTTCATCATCAGTTTTTTCTCACTTCCTCTCGAAACAACTTTAATTTTTCCCGAATTATCTTGAGCAATGATATGTGGCATTTCATTTGCGTTACCACTAGTGATTATTTTTAGATATGAGTCATAATTTGGAAATTGTAATGAACATAATCTATGGAAATCGTCTTGTAAGTTTGAAGGCATTCGCATGCTTAATTCTACCAAAAGGAGAATTTTTGGAGTTGTGTTTATCACCTGTCTAAGTTGTTGGCACAATGCGGGGACAGAATGCGAGACACGAAAATGATGTAAAGCTTGCTTAAATATAAGGCACTCTTCATCCGTGAGCAATTCTTGAGCTAAGTTTTTTAATATTGCTTCACTTCGTTTTGAGTCAACCATCTTAGATTGTTTCTGTTTCTGTAAACTGCGTTGTCTGTAGGCACGCTGTAGGGGCTTCCACGTCCAGTGACGATCACCTGGGTAAAACTCAACCTGAAAATAGTTGCAATACATTATTTAAATCCTACTGAATAACAAACAAACAAAAATTCACATCCTTTGCTAGATATAAAGAATCAAGTCATGGAGTTAATTAAATTTCCTTTGTGTTTATTAGGATTTAACAATAAACTCTCCTAATGAGGAGGTAGGAAACAAAGAGGAGCTGTCTCACAATCTGTTACCACAGTATGACCATTGATTTCATTGACAGATTGTCTCAGAAAATCAATATTCCAACAAGCATCTAAAAATCCACTTGTAATAAAAAAACTTCCAATCAACCTTTATGCACAGTAAAACACTCTAAATATTGTGATTTCACAAATTTTCAGGAAGTATTGATATGACTCAAGCAGAAATTTGCAAATTTATGAAACGCAATTTATCTAATATTCTTTTTTGTGTATAAATAAAATGATATTTAATATGTTCCGTAAATTATGAATGCGTACAATGGTACATTTTTTTTGTCTCTACAATGTATTTGAAACACCCAGTTTGGAGTAAAGATGATAATAAATGATCTTGATGATTAATTAAAATAAAAAAAGGGTGTCATAAAACAAGTTTTTTTTAAATATCACAGTACCTATATATATGTATAAAATCCATAACACTTCTAAATTTTTACAGTAATAAAGCTTAATAACTTGCTGGGAAAAAATTGGGACTTCGTAACAAAGTAAGTTCACAAAAAAAAACATTTTTCTGTATAAATCTCATCTTCATGAATTAACTTTTATCCTCAACATAATTTCATGCAAAAGTAACACATTTTCTTTTTTACTTTATAGATAAACCAAATTATACATTTTCAAACTTATAGCAAAGTCTGTCACTTATATTTATCTCTATTTTGTCCGCAAATGTTTTGCTTCAGCACACATGTAACAGTCACACTTCCTATTATCTAACATAATTAATTGCAAACTGAAGTTGATATCAACTTCACTATAGATACCTAAATTGCCTCATCCATAATTCAGTTATCACTGACGATCACATAAAGATTATCTAACAAGCAATTTCAAAATCTACTTGAAACATGATGGATGATTTATCGAATATAAAGCGCACATTTCAAATTGCAAAATCACAGTCAAAGTAAAATAATTAAACATGCCCTGAAATCAGCATCGTTTTAATGGCTGAATACAGCAACCACAAGCATTGTGATTCAATGCCAGCTAGGACATTAAAATGTCATGCTGTTTAAGATTTTGTTAAAGATTTTTAAGTGAGACTAATGTTGAATTAAACAGACAATTGAGCCCCACATGGACTTTAGAGAGCAAAGTGCATTAGTCAACTTTGAAAAAAGTGTGATTAAATCATCAGAATAGAATAGAAAGGTTCTGTAACCTACATTAATTTACATAATTTATTCATAGAGGGGCTGCCCCCAATTGTGAACTGATTCTTTAGATTTTATCATTTATGTACCCAGTATTAAAGGGGTTTATGCATCCTTTTTTTGTGCATTAACATGTGCAAAAATATGGGCCCACATTTAAACCTCAAGCCCGCAGGGTGAGTGATTTACTCAAGTGTGAGTGCTCTTGCAGATTTTAATGCACAAAAAAGGTGCATTAGTGCTATTTCTTGTCAAATATATTGTAAAATCTAACGAAAAATATTTTAAAAAAAATATAAATATTAATTTTTATGTGTATTGTGGTCATGTCAATTTAATTCACATTCTCACAATGTTTTTGAAATAACAAACATCAATTTTCTGATACACCCTTTGATTTTCTTTGCAATTATGTTTTTAAATAATTAAATGTAAAAAATAGGTATTAAGTTAAATTAGAATTACATTTTTTTTCTTTGATAGATTGGTTTTCCTTCTAATGCATGACTGGATATGTACATAAAATATTTACAATTTAACACAACGCCCACCAAAAACATAACTTTATAAAAGCACTCACTTGAAACAATTCTAATTTAAGTTTTGTATTCCCCTAAGAGTCAAGATTTATATTTACCTAATCCATTGATGGCAATTCAGTTTACCCATATATTTTACAACAAAATATTTACATGTCAGTCTTCAAAGGTAAAAATTAAACCCCCTCACCCTCCTGAAATAGTGTAATGTACTTGCCCTGCATTGAATTTGGAACAGTCCATTGTGTCTTTAAGGGATATCATTATCAAAATAAATCAAATAAATCAAATAGTCCCTTATTTTTCATTTCAAGAGCTTACACCCAACTGCAACATTTTTGTATCTTTATTTTGAAACTTTACCTTTACTGGAGAGGAATTAATATAAGTATTGTTTTACAAATGTTTTCCCAATCCAGTCCGAATTTCTTTGTTTGTGAAATGTTTGTAAATGTTGTTTATGTACAATTTATTGAAATAAATGATGCACAGATATTCAGGCTGGCAAGTGGCTCTACATTGGTGACTTAATCTTTGATAATGACTTGCCAAGGTAGACAAATAAGTATTAATTATTTCTAGTTCTGATAAAATAATGTTTTCCGAAATACAACTTCCCCTAAAAACTTCTTTAGTACTGAACAATAATGCTATTTTTGTCAATCTTTATACTGTGCTTTCTTTTCTTACAACATATTGTACACTTACCAAGCTGGAACTGTACATCCTTGCAGTCTGACCAGGTTCTATACAGTTCACAAATCAAATTCAAATTTTCATCTTGATATCACAAAAATTGATAATGACAGTTCCAAAAATGGAAGCTGGACAAGTCCATTTAAGATATTTTAGCAGGTGAAAGGTAATTACAGTTGGTGAAAGGATGAAATACAAAGTTCCCGAATATATCATTAATAGTAAACTTTATACTGCCTTTTTATTACAGTGCATGCCAGGATCAATGATTATTGAAAAATTTATGGTACATTCCGACATATGTGTGCCTGATACCATCTCTTCATAGATCATGGTACAAATATAAAACCACATCTGCCACCTGCGTCCTATGGTCATTCTCTTTGTCCTTGTACAGGATTGACCAACTAATATTTGAACAAATCACTGAAATGGTTGGTAAGGCTTAGGTCAAGAAAAAGAACATGCACAAAATTTTACAACATCAATGTATTTATATAAATTGCGCGTATTTTGCCACTAAGATTGAATTATCCTTTTCAATAAGATTTTGTTACTGACCGATTTGACTGTAAATATATACATAATATCAAGTTCCTTGAGTATTTCGCAAATGATTATTAACTCATTTTCAAGTCATACTAATAAATCTAATGACTGAGTTATATTATTCCACTGTTGAATAAATACTTTGAATAACATAGCCTTGAATACCTATAAATAAGGTTCAAATTACATTGATTTTATTCAGCTATTATAAATTTGAAATACAAGAGGCTTGTGCAGTCTGCACTCTTTTGAAAATTAATAGTATTTAACAAAATCTGTTTAAATAACAGATATAAATAACACATCGATTATTTCACCAATTATCATTTACATGTAATTGTTGAATTTCCATTCTTGTGTACTGACTTAATGAAGTATTGAGTGAAAACTTCCAAACAATAAATTCTAAGTGTAAAATAACTCCACCTCAAATGACTAAGATTGAAATTACGCCTGACAGAAAAATCAAAGTTCTGAATTCCGCCCCATTCTATCTCAAGAAAATTCCATCCAAGATAAAATGTACAAGTACAAAATTTCGCCCATAATAAAATTCCGCCCTGAATGGTTCTTGTTTTATGCCCAGAAATGTTTAAGAAATATTTTCCGTGTGGGGCGGACTGATACAGAATTTGCTTTTCCGTGCTTTGTCTGCCCAGAAAGCAATTATTCCATCCCAATTCCGTGCCATTTACGCCTAGAATCCGTGCCAAAATTTCATACAGGGAGGCTCTGTGACCTTGACCTTAACTTGAATGCATTACCTTGACCTTGAATGCATGCATGAAGAAAGTTAACATTTGTTTAAGATAATGATACAATTATCCTTTTTAAAAAAACAAAATGGCAAGGTAACAGTCTGTTCAATGCTTATGATGAATGCTATTTTAAGATAATGAAAAAAACAAGCTGAACAATTGGTGCATGTTTTCCATTGTTATAATTGTCTTCCAAAGCAATTACGTTACAATTGCAAATCTCATTAGGAGGAAATTTGTAACAACGGCAGCGCCCACGTGGCACATTGTTTTGTGATAATGAAATTTAAAGTATAAAACTTTGCACTGTGTATTTCATAAATTTTTGGACAAATTGAAGCAATTACGTCTGACAATCGTTGAAATGATTTGGTTCCAAACTATTATACTTGAAATATTTATTCTACATATATATAACTAATTATACACTAATTAGTTTTAAAATAAACTGTAGCACGCTGTACAAGTTAAATACAAGTTTATACATTTTGAAAAATTCCTTATATATTGGTGAATATATTTTGAAAAACAAGAAACTTAACAAATATTTACAATGAGAAAACAATGAAAAATCTTACTTTAATCATTAATTACCTTTAAACCTACAGTAATTCAAACATTTTTTCTTCTAAATCTATCTTGGAAAAAAAATGCCAAAGACTATGTAATAAAAGAAATTAAATTTCTGCACAGTTTATATTCATAGATTTTCCATCTATTAATGTGCATTCTATAATGGGCATAAAAATGATAATTTTATAAATTCCATTCAAAGATCTTCACTTCCTGAAAGAGTATCCAAATTATAGTCTTGGTTTTAAATCTTAACCCAAATTAATATTAAAAAAAAAATTCCACATACCAGTAACTTGGCTAAAATGAGTTCTTTCTTCCTAACAAGCCAGTTTTTAAATGTAAGTTTGAACTTAAGTCAAGTTTATCCTAATATTTTTTTTTTCATTTTGTTAAGAAGAGACTTCTTCAGTTAACATATAATTGAAAAAAAAAATGTAAAAAAAAATTTAGGAATAAAAAAATGAAATAACTGAACAATTAAATTGATATATACTGTCTGAAAATTAAAATAAAATAACA